ATCTATTATCTATATATATATATATCTCCTCTATTATCTATAATCTAATTATCCTCCTCTCTCAGACTACACCCTCATCACTGATGAAGCTTGGTGGAGGAGCATTTGAACAACATGTGTATGCCTCTGGGTACAAGCTCCAAGGACCAAAAAGAAAACTCTACAAAATTGCACTTTAATTTATTTTCTCATATTAGTCCCTGTTCTCAGACTACTGGGTATTTATTTATGAGCCTCAAGACCTTCTAATAACTCCCAAGGCTAAGAACCCAGTCATCACTACCTCTTGGTCAAACTCCTATACATTATTCCCAATAAATGTCCTCTCTTTAGTGTTCCCTTACAGGTCTGTATATAGCTTTAATTGATTTTGTTTTTAATGTTACATGTGAGCTTCTTTTGCTCATTTTTAAATTCACAGAACATAATAATTTCCTTGAATGTGTAGGTTTCAAATTCAAATGTTTGAGAAAAGACTAAAGAATTTAAGTTCTATGAGTATGTTTCTGTGTTACTTTATTTTAAACATTTAAGTAAACCTGAAACTATCAGTGCCTAGGTACTATTTTGGAAGGGAAAAAGGATTTTTTATTGTTTTCTATTTGCAAGTGATGTCTATGTACATGCAAGATATTGTATAATTGTGCAGACACAGGAAAAAGAATTACCCAATGGTTTAGGTCCTAGATTGTATGGCCCTGCACTTGCAAATGTTTGTTTTGCTATTGATAAATATATAATGGAAACTTTAACAAAATGGCAACTTTAGACCTTTAAAGGTATTTTTGAAGGCAATAGGAAACATCAATTTTATTTAAGATGAGAGTATTGTGACTAGTCAGGGAACTCTCCTAGGCAGGTAAAATCTGAACTTATATTTCTCTTTTCTTTTGTTTTTGAGATTATAATGTAATTGTCATTTCCCCCTTCCCTTTCCTCCCCCAAGGCCCTCCCATGTACCCCTTCTTGTTCTATCAAATTCATAGTCCTTTTATTATTAATTGTTATTGCATGCAGATATTAACATACATGCCTAACATTCCTAAATATAACCTGCTTAGGCTGTATAATATTATTTGTATATATGTTGTTTGAATTGGATAACTACTTGGTGTTCTTTCCTCTTAGGACATAAGTTCTTCTCTTAGCATTCATTAGTTGCCTGAGGCCTTGTGGTGTTGACCCCTCACCCCCATCCACTTTGGGATGCCTGTCGCCATTGTCTTTGTTCAGCTCAGGATTGGATGATCATGTTAATGAGACTTTATTATATTGCTTATAGAATACAAAAGGCAGAATGAACTTGCAAATTTCTAGTCCAGAAATATTTCTGGCACAACAATAAAGGCAAAAGAGTCCAAAATAAAGAGTGTGAACTGTGTTTGAGAAAGAAAAAAAAAGGCAACTATGGATGTCACATATGTCTAATGCCTAAAGCTGATGTATAAAACATTGATTTGATTAAAAAGTAGGAACTAGCAGGGCTGGAGAGATGGCTCAGTGGTTAAGAGTACTGTCTGTGCTTCCAAAGGTCCTGAGTTCAATTCTCAGCAACCACATGGTGACTCACAACCATCTGTAATGAAATCTGGTGCATATACACATGCAGACAGAGCACTGTACATAATAAATAAATAAATTGTTTAAAAAATGAAATTGGTTTTAAAAATAGGAACTAGCAATCTTAATGCAGAGACTGCCTAAAATCAAAGAACTGAAAGAAATAGCCTTGTAAATCCTACCCACCTCCAATATCTAGTGTTTGTTCGACCCATCAGGCCAAACTCTTATTGAATTTAATAAATTCCTTGACCTCAAAATCCCTCAAATCAACATTTTTTTGTTTCCTCAAAGCTATGGCACCAAACCTTATTAATATTATACATGAATTGTTCAGACTATGTTCCAGGTTACAGCTATTAGCTTTGTGGCCCTGAGGCATTGTTTCAGACAAGACCAAGGTATATAAATTGCAAGGTAAGGATTTGTTTGCAATTATCTCTGTGTGGTTAGTGCTCAGGAGAAATTTTAGGTGTGCTATTTATAATAGACTTCATTATGACTAAACATCATTTTTGATTATTGTTCTTGACTGAAAGGGGCCTGAAATAAGTTTCTTTGGTATCTAGTGTCTGTTCTTTAGGGAAATAAATTGCATAATAACAGGGGTGGAGAATGTGGCTGAGTGACAAATGTATAGGTACTTGGACTCACACATATAGATCCACTTATAAATACAGCTCAGAGAACATCATCTGCAGTGTTGAACTCCATTAGAATTTCTGTTTTCTGAGACCTTGACATCCTCACTAACATGAAGCCAGCAGGCACCATTCTGCTTTTGATCAGCCTGGCCTATTTGTTCCTCTATGCAGGTGAGTCCAAATCCATGCAGTGTATTTCTGGACCAGACTGGCTGCTGAAATGAGTTGGATTACAATGTTGTTTTTTATGATGATTGATGATAACAATAATGAATAATACACTAAACCTTGTTTCAGTAAAATTTTAGTACATAAATGAGCTATTTCAATTTTTACTACAGTGCTCTGCTTTAGACACTTTTTTCACTTCCAAAAGTAGTTTCACTATCTAGGATGAGAAGACTAGTTTTAGATTTTGAAGACTCCTGCATTCTAATTTGACAATTTTAGGCCATTTGTGTTGCCGTCTGAGGGCCACCACGAGAGACATCTGGTTAGAATTACACTTCCATCTTTAGGGAAACTTTGATATAGAAATTAGAAATTCTCCTTAAACATCTTCTTTAAGAAATCCTTATCTGTTTTGTTTTGGGGTGTGTGTGTGTGTGTGTGTGTGTGTGTGTGTGTGTGTGTTTTGTCTTCTTGAAACCAGGTCTAATTATGCAGGCCTTGTTGGCTTGTCACTTGGCTACATAGATCAGGATTTGAATTTTCAGTGATCCACCTGTTTCTACAGCTGTGTCTGGAAATATAAGCATGTTCAATCATGAAGAGACTTCCTTAGCTTTAAAAGTAGGATTGTTTCATGACTTGATATATGTAAGGTTTCATATAGTACTTAAATGTATAATTCCCCCAGTAGAAGAGGGATATGCGAAATGGAAATGTGATAAATTACAATTATCCATATTGCAATTATTTAAAATTTATTTTGCAGTTTTTGTTATATCACTATGCATTCATCAAAAGCTTTCAATTCATAGATTTTCAGTTCCCTTTTAGTAAATATATACCTATTCAACAAAGAACAGCTCAAAACTTTACCTTCCTTTCTCCACAGAGAGGCTGGTTATAAGAGAAATCCCAAAGTGGAAAATGTGATTGCATAAAAGTACATAGAAGACAAACATAGGCAGAGCAATGTTGCCCCAACCATGTGTAATGCAGCCTGCCTCTGGCACTTCCATGTGGTTAACAAGCTGTGTGTCTCAGTGTAGTTCTCCATCGGCAAAGCAAAAGGGATGCAACAGAAGACTATTATAGCTAGCTGCAAGTGGAAAATACAATTGTCAAATGTGATTTACCAGCGTCTCTTCTTTCACTGCAGATGCTGTGAGCCAAGGAAGCTTTCAGGTATGTGCCTCTCGTCCTTCCTCTAGCCATTCTACCCCAGCAAGCTGCACCACAATGTTCAGAGAAGAGATGGAAGGAAGTGAATAAACTGCTAACCGAAAGTGCTGCAATTTTAGGGGTTTTGTTCTGTTTTCAATGAATTTTCATTTTCATAACAAAAAGATAAATTGCTTCAAGGAATTTTGAGGTATGTAAGGCTATTTTGTCATTCCATAAGAAATAAAAATTTAAAAATACTTCATTTGATTTATAGGCTTTTTGCAGAAACTTTGAGAAGAAACTGGGTACAGATGAAAAAACATGCCCAAAGCTCAACAAACCAGTGTGTGGCACTGATGGAAAAACTTACCAAAACCGCTGTGAATTCTGCCGAACAGCCATGTAAGCAAATGGATGCTGCTAACACCATGATGTCCTTAGTTGGGTCCAGCGGAGTAGACGTCCATGAATTGAATTACTTAATAATAATTTATTAGTCTATTAAGGTTAATTTCATATGAAATAATGTAATATGATTATCTGACAATCTTAGATCTAGAAAAGCAATCTTTGCCCACTTTAGGCAGCCTAGAATTAGCCCATTTCTACTGTACTTGATCTCTGAACATCGTATCTTTTCTTTCAGGGAAAGAAGTTTTGGAAAACTTGGTTTCAAACATGAAGGGAAATGCTGAAACCTCTAACACAATGCTGGGTGCACCTTTGGCTTGATTTTTACACTCCGATGTGTATTCTCTGCTGCCCAGTCTCCATGGCAAGGTGCTTGCCACCAGTTATTATGCAGTTATTATGCAAAATTTTAATAAAGTTATCTCAGTAACATTTATAAACCAATGCTTTGTTTCAGATAATGAAAGCACCTCTACTTGAACTATTATGTGATTCAATAAGAAACTTGAAAACCAAACACAATATTACAAAACTTACCAGACCCAGAACTGCCCAGTCCATACTGTTTTTTACTAGCTATGCAGAGGGTCTTAATAAAATAAAATTGGACCCATGAAGTAAATATATGTATCTGACACAATGATACATTGTGAATAGTGTTTTTTCCTAAAAAATATGTTGAGTTGTATAAGGTCTCAATTTAAGCATTGAGGTCAAAACAATAAAAGAAGGACAAAATACTGGTCATTCTGACTGTGTCCTGGAACAGTTGAAGTCTCTACATTACTTGTCTCTGGATGTATCACATGTACCATAGAAAATATAATTTCTGTATATGCAAAACTGTGAGAAGTTTTAAAAGAATCGATCCACCCACGTGCTGTGGATGTTTCAACATAGAGAAATGGACAAGATAAGCACTTTCAGTCACTGTAAAGACAGGTACATATTAACATTAAAGCATGCATTTGATATGCTTTTGCTTTAAAATTCCAATGAAAGTATTATTCCATTTACTATTTCTAGAAATAATTGCCCAGTGCCTATAATACGCCAGATATCATTGCAGTAAAAAGTAAAGACAAGATTCCTACTTTGAAGAAACTTATAACTTATGTAGACAAGACCATGAGTTAGATACATTTTCAGCTATTAAAAACTTTAAAAGGAAACAAAATAGAGGAATGTAATAGATATAATTGGAAGAGTGGTGGAGGCAAGATTGCTTGAAACTGATTCTTTGGAGCAGATCTTGAAGAATGGAGAAATAGAGAGAGGGTCTTTCAAGTAGAGAAAATAACAAATACAAAACAAAGGTGAGTCAAACAAGATGGGCAAGATTACATGAGTGGGGACAGCCACACAAAATCTGAAGCAATGTTCTGTTACAGGAAACTATTGATATATACTAAGAAAACAATTCACAGAAGGCGTGTTGTTTTAGGGATGATACAAAAAAAATTTTCTGAGTTAAGAATAATGGGAAGTTTAGAGAAAGGATAGTTTTGAAGTCTGAAATTGAGCAAGTGTATTAATAAAATGCAAACTTGGTACTTCCCTATTACACAGATAAGCACACTGCTTCTGAAGAAAAAGTTCTCACTGCACAACAAACAAGTCAGAAGTGGCCTAGGGATGTTTCTTTAGTCAAGATACCTTAAACACGCATACATGAATATGTATGTACACGTGTGTATACACACACATGCATGTATATGTACACATATGTGTACACCTGCATTTTCTTACTTTCAGTTAGATATTTAAGTTAGTATTTAAGATTTCAGTTAGTATTTAAGATTTGTAAAAAAGGTCAGATAAAAATCTGGATTTCTAGAAATTGTAGATATGAAACTGTAGCTCTGAAATTTCTAGATACGAGAAGATCCAGTCACACAATCATCTAATTATTTGACATCCAACAACTGATTGACTTTGGCCCCTTTTGGTAAAGTCACTTCCAATGCGTCCAGATCAGCCTGATTCTTGTTCCTAGTTACTGAATGCAGATGATAAAGTTGTATTCCTTTCTTTAATGGTCTCATTCAATATCTTTGGTTTTAGAAATTTACACTCTGGGGCTAGAGAGATGGCTCAGATGTTAAGAGAACTGGCTGCTCTTCCAGAGGTCCTGAGTTAACTCCCAGAAATCACATGGTGGCTCACAACCATCTATCATGAGATCTGGTGCCCTCTTCTGGCAAGCAGGCATACATATAGGAAGAATACTTTACATAATAAATTAATTAAAAAACATCAGCAATAAATTATTTTTCAAAAAGGAAAAGAAGTTTACACTCTAGAGTATAAGATCAATTCATCAGTGCATAACAGCTTCCTCCTAGAATCAATGTTTTCCACTTTATCACTTACACTAAGTGGGAACACTCTGTTATAAAAACACAAACACATCATGGTATCCTGACCAGCATAAAAAATACTACAGAACACAAATGTAAAGACAGTGGATCATATCATTTTACTTGGCTTCCAGTATCTACTTTCAAATATCATCTCCACTTATCTCTCTTTTTTTTTTAATTCAAGTTAGGGAATAGGCTTGTTTGACATGTAAGTCCCTTCTCCCTCTCCCTCTCCTCACCCCCATCCCTCCTCCCCCACCCCATCCACCCACCACTCCCCAGGCAGGGCGGGCACCCCCC